TTCCCGTTTCACCCATCGCCTCCTAAGCTACGCGTAAATCTACATCCAAAGTGTCTATATATACAATATCAATCCCTGCAATACCGCAAGTAAAAGGTACAGAAAGTATACTTTGCTTCGTCACCCCTCGCCGCGCGGCCGGCATGCGCGGAGCCGATACATAGCATGCATACAACGACAATGCGTAGATATACCTAGGTACTTACTTACTTACTTGGTATCTAGGTATATCGATATCTACGTAGATATCGATATTGCTATCGCCATGTCCTAGCAGTCGCTATAGCTATTTTGCACTCTGGTAAGAACATTTTCTAGCATCAATCCAATGCATGACATCAACCAATCATTGGCTGTAATGTAGTCTTTTCTTCAAAATAAACACAGCACCCGCTGTCCGCAGACGTGTATTGTTCAGCGTGGGTGTTAATTAAGTTCCCGTCGCATCGAGCTTCGTGAAACTTGATATGTAGAAGTATATGTACCTCTGCATGTACCGTCCCTTCTGCTGCTCGGACCCGGATAGCTATATATTGTACTGCCCCAGTGATATATTTCCCATCGTGGTACAAGATATAGCCCGGGTTTCTGTCGATGCATCGTATTACTCTCGGCCTCGTTATATCATCTACTGTGTCAATACGACGCACATATGTCACCTATCGATCATCACCCGCATTCCCATGCATGTTGTATGATGCAACGTATTCGGACGTCTTGTAACGATCCCATTATTACAAGTTCAACCGTCGACATGATATACCCATCGAAGACAAAGAAACAAAAACCAGTACAAAGTCCATTATACCCATCCACCTGTCTATCAACTCCATCTACCCAGTCCCTTCAATCCATCTATCGTACGGCCAGACATACAGCAGCCACGACTAACGGTACAAATCACCCCCACCGCTTCGCTTCGTCCACGACGTTGCCATGCTCAGTATACCCGAGCCGCTCCTTGACCTTCTCCACAACCGCCTTATCACCGGTATTCTTGCCAATGTTATCACTGATCTTGACTGCGGCATTGCCTGCCGCCGAGGATAGCTTGATCACGATGTTGAGCGGGGTAGACTTGCTCCCGTCGCTCTTGTGCACAAAGTCATCTAAACACCATTAGCACCAGCTTTCCATCCCCGCATCCCACAGCAAGCACCAGGCCACATATATAGAGACAGCGGGATGGATGATAGAAGAACTTACTGGTCAAAAAGGTCCCAATCCCGAACGACGGAACGAGCCCCTGCGCCTCCGCACAAGCCTTATACTTAATAACCAGCTCCGTCGTCAACGAATCGCTAAACACAACCGTCTTCTTCCCCATCACGCCCACGCGGTCGTAAAACTCGCGAATCCACCCAACATACTTCTCCGGATCCCCGCTGTCCTGCCGGATACCCGCGAATACTTCTGCATAAGTCTTGCCCTCGGCGCCGGGCACCGGACAGGGTTTTGCGAACGCGTGCAGGAATTCCTCGGTGCCGAAGGTGTCGGTGAGCGCGATGGAGAGGACGCCCGGGCCGAAGGTTTGCGTCCACTTGAGCAGGCCTTGCTCGCTGGCGTTTTCGTAGCCGTCGTTCTCGGCTGCGATGCCCATGAACCATTCGTGCGCGACTGTGCCGACCGGGTTCAAATCGTGGCTGTACCCTGTTAGTACTGGTCGGTCGATGTGGTGTAATTTAGTGAAGTGAGGGGCTCACCGATGGCAAAAGTGGACGTTGCTCGAGCTGTTGAAGCTGCCGGGGTAGTCTGGGTTATCCTTAAAGTCCTCCGCAGCCTTCATGAGGCCCTGTATGACGAGATCTTGGGCATGGTAGCTCCTGCGCCGACGGGTGCCGAACTCAGTGAACACAGCGCCGTGCTTCAGCAGCACCTCTGCCTTCTCGTACGCTTTCTCTACACTCATCCATCCAAGTCAGCACACGTCCACAGCCAGCCAGTGAAGCATACACAGCTCCTGAACCGACGGACAAGAATATGAGAACTCACCAATCTGCCCTTCGTAATCCCAATCCGTGTCCACGAACCGGAAAAACGCCTCGCTGACAAGCACCAGCAGCGGAATCTCATACAGTATCGTCTCCACCCACTTTCCCTTCACGTCCAGCGCGAGTTCACCGACATCGTCGGGCTCCTGTCCGCCGTGGAAGACGGCCTCCACCTGTGCGTCCGGATGGAACCTGAACGCCTGGAGGTAGGCGATGTACGTCGGTGGTAGGTACGGGCATTTCGCGCGGAGGAACTGCTCTTCCGAGTCCGTGAGCTGGAGGTTCGAGAGCCCTGCCCGAAATCGTGATTAGCAGCTGCGACGATCATGCTTTTAGGTGTAGGACCCGTACTATCAATCTGGACTTTGAGCCAATCGTATGCCTTGCGGTTGATTTGCAGATGCGGTGTGCGGTTCGTGTAGTGGTATGTGACATCTGTCGTGAGCCAATCAGCAAGCGTCGCTGAACCTACGACATGGAGGTCGTGCCCGCGGGATGGTACGCACCAGTGTCCGGGTAGTGCTGTAGGACCGCGCATTGCATCGTCAACTTGTACAGATCGGTGTCCAGCAGCGAGAAGATGCCCTCTGGCAACGTCGCCGGGCTGTCCTGCGGTGTCGACGTCATGGTGTGGATATCGCGGGCGGAAATCTGTACCAAATGCCAGATTATGGTAGATGGTGTGTAGGATATATACCGGGTGCAATCGATCTAGGGATCCGGAGAGATTTGATATATGGCAGGTTGCGGCAATTGCGATGCTGAGGACGATCAACGATCAATGCAGAGCAAGGACAGCCGGGGTCCCGCCGCCGCTTTTATACGCTCACGCCCACCGCCGATGCGGAACACGTCCGAGAGTGATGCCGGCAGATGCGCTGCTTGAAGGGAATCCCAATCCGTGCAGCCTTCAAGACGGCGAGCGGGCGACTTAGGGAGTGAGTGAGTCTCACATTGATACGTTACGCGCCAAAACAGCAGGCTCCCAGCAGAAGGATCGCATTGAGTTCTGCGATAGTGGCGGTGACGCGCCCCACCAGCCCACCATGCAGCATCCAGCACCCGACGCGGGGCACCCTTTCGACGGAGCGGACAAAAGCGCAAACTGAGCTGCCTGGCCCTGGCTGTCTTTCTGGATCGCGGGTCTCCAGCTGGACGGATCCTGAGGACCTCAGCCGCCGACCTCGATGCAGCCTGCTGGCCGGGCGAATGGTCGGCGTTCGGGGCCTCGCCGCTTGCAGCCTCGCAACACACCTGACCAGGCGACTCACCGCGCCTGTCTATCACGGCCAACAGTGCAAGGAGATGACTAACTATTGCGGTCTGTCATACCAGGACGCGCGCGCGCGCGCCGTTATATACGTTATTGTGTTAACGCGCAATTCACTATTTTCCTATTCATCGAGGCGAATCCACAGAAGAGACTCTAATTACTAGATACGGCATTGATGTCGGGAAGCTAAGTAATTATGAGTGTCGAGCAATGCATATAAGGTGCCTTGAAATGAGAACGTCATGGGCCCTTTCTCAACTTTCGACATATGCAGACACTTATATTGAGGGGAAGCTAAAGCATAAATTATCCCTAGAACGCAACATACCGTCCAATGCAAATGCATAACCAGGGGTGTTTAGGCCGCCCTACAAAATGAACTGCTGCGACCTTCTCCAACCTGGATACAGCATCACACCTAGTCAGCGCCAGACCCACCTGGCTGCAACCGGTGCCCTGAAATCCGACAACTTGGTTTACGGGACAAGAATAAGTAACCCCCAAAGCATTCGCATAGTCCAATGATATCAACAGGTCATAGATCAGCAGTACTGGTTCCTCGATGCTCCTAGACGTCGCATCTGAGGATGTATGCATCGATATGCCTGTGGTCTTGCTCCTATTCAAGAACGAAAGATCAATATTATACTAGCCCATCATATATATATATTGACCTTGATCAAACTCACTCGGAGTACCAGTCAGGATTATGGCTAGAGATGCACATATCGGGATCATGATGGATCAAGATACATCGGCTGCATCCATCATGCAAATTGATCTCCACACAGGCTCCCGCTTCTACAAGTATAATCTATAAAAATCCGATACCACACCTGGCGCCCTTCCAAATCGTGCTACCTTTGTGCGCATCGATTCTCTAGAAGGTTGGGACAAGCTTAATTAGATTTCACGGTATACACAACATCTATGATCGATATCATTTATACTTATATGCACTAGATAAAGCAAGAATATATACACCCAGCTGATTGATCCATAAAGATAGTTGACCGGCGCATGCTTGTGCACCGAGGCTATTTATCCAGTAAGTGCGAATCGATAAAATCAATATAAAATCGATCAATCAATTCGCTTCTCGGGGTAAGCATTGTAGATTATCATGTCAGTTCATCAGTTGCAATGCCACAGTCCCCAGGTCCAGCGCAGCGCCGGGGCCTATAAAATAGTGAATGCGCCGGCGTGTAGAATAAGACGCTCGGGCCTCTGGCACGCACAGTGCTGCATCAGATATCATCTAGCAGCATGCTCAGAACATCATGATCAAAACATCATGAAACCGATTGGCTGATCTCTCCGCTGACATGATGTCAGTATATATGGCCTGATGAAATATACATCCTAACCCGGGACGCAATCATCGACAGTAGTATGTATTGCATGCTTATGGCCTGCATACCACCCAACTCCTCGAGTTCTTAAAGTAGGACAAAAAACAGCCATATAAAATAATTCAACGCATCACATCAACCGATCATCCTCCTTTCATTTGCAAGCCTCCCATCCATTTCTTCCACCCGCAGATCCATCGTCACCTCTGTCATCATCTATTCAGCAACCATTCCACACGCCACGCCAGATATATGAGCTCTTTATGCACATCCCAACCCCAGCAACCCACAATACCACAACGAACGAACGCACCCCAAAAGGAAAGTTTTCCGCCACACCAAGCGAGCGGAAAGCAAAAAAAAAAATGCAAAAAAGAATCTCTATGCCTACAGCCTGAGTCGAACAGGCGACCTTTGCATGGCAAGGTAATACAAGTGCAACGCTCTACCACTAAGCTATGCAGGCATTAAGGAGCTCGTCGCCAGAATGCGTCCTATGAAACAACACAATTCTCAGACTGCGAGAATCGACTTTCATCTTCTGGCGGTCTAGTATGTGGACTTACACGATTGTCATCAAAACATGAATGCACTCGTCACGATCCTTGAAAGAGGATCCTTTCCGATTAATATTCAGAAGGGTGCCGTCTCGTTTTGGAATATTATCAACCTAAATGGGAAGATTTTTTGTAAAATACTCACAAATCGGGAGGATAAAAATCTGGATTTGGTGAATTACCGCCCCGTTCAGAAGATATCGATCCCGAATCGGAAGTTTTCGCAACCGATGGAGCTGGAAATATACGAATCGATCGAATAATCTTCTACATTGAGATATTTATCGTCCGAATGGGGGTGATTTGCATTCGTTCTTCTACAGATACAAATGCATGACATCTGATGGTTGCAAAGAATAGTACTATTGTACAGAACACGGCGGACGACGCGTTCTTGACATCTAGTCTTCGTTCAACCCAAGGCTACGTAAACATGTATACATCGGACTAGTTTAGCATCGTCAAGTATGAACAGCGATTGATAGTTCGATAGTCAAGTAGTTACTCCAGGTTTAATGTTGTATTGCAAGCAGAATTCATGAACGTATCGACTCCATCCTTAAATAACATTATAACTTATGTGCTCCATAAAGTTGCTTCAGATGTCGAAAAACGATTGGAACAGACATTAATCACATATCAGCGCGGACATACGTGGCCGACGACCGATTCTATATACGCTGCAGGCACAGTCCACTTCAACAGCTGTTGGTCCACTGTATCGATAAGTCACTGCAAGTTACCGCGCGTCAGGCACACATCACCTACAAACCAATACAACGACAACAATCCATATATAACGCACAGCAATCGATTAATTCAGGTACCCATCACAAGATAGAAAACAACGTAAAGACAAGCTCGTGCCTAGTATCACAACACTCTTACAACCAACAGTCGGCATCTCGAAACGGTACCCGTCGGCTGCAGGCACCAAAGCGGCACAAGTTAACCCCCCACACAAATCTCAAACACGATCGGTGGCGTGCATCCCGTATGCACGCAACCTGCGACATCGATCCCACCACCTGTCATATCCGTCGCTTCCGACACCCGCAGCTACCTTTTCCAGCCGACCTCGCATCCGAGGATGTATACCAGGTTTATACTATTTTCGCTCGCAACGGTCCGCTACATGGAATTTATAATTACTCGAATTTCGAATCTCAATTTCGAATTCGATCCGATGAAACAAGTCTACGCATACGGTAGCTCTAATGCATGGAATATTCTGTATTCACTGTGTACCGTTACAGTTTTCTCGCTTTTGTACTGAACCCGAATACAACCGCAAATACGAAAAGGCAGGAAGGACGACAAGAAAGATATGTGCAACTTGTCCACTTGCTAAACTGATACCCTGATAGAAAACAAAAATACAAAGGGAAACACAGAAGGATTCAATGATTTCAGGGGAAGGAAGAAAGGGGGGATCTAATGAAAACAGACCAGGGGGGAAGAGGGGCAGGGAAGGGTATCCATTGTCTATAGTGCGAAAAATCAGACCGACGCAAAGAAAGAAAAATCGTATCACAGCAGAGAAGACGAAAAAAAAAAAAAAAATGGAAGCCAGAAGAACGCCCATTGAACCAACTTATCCACCGGATTCCAGAACGACGAACAACAGGTAGGTCTTGAGCCCTTAAACTGATGAGAACACTGCAGGAGTCACCTCCTTATGATGCGATGCCATAAGATATACACACGCACGCACTCCCCGTTACATACATACATATATGCATATAGTATGCTTGCTATGCTATGCTGGTTTTTTTTCGACAAAAGAGAGGTAGAGACGGCAAAAAAAAAAAAGGCACAAAGAATAGAGAACCGAGAAGGAAATTGAAGTGAAGAAAAAAGGGTAATCAAATACAGGAAGTGAAAAGGTTGTCAAAAGGGGCTATGTAAAATAAAAAGGCCGACTCGGTAGAAGTGAAGAGAGGAAAAAGGTTAAAAAAAAATTGGGAAAGTGGGAACAGGAGATCGAGATGCCCGGATTCCAGTCCAGCTGCGGTATACCGCGATCCATCACAAATTCCGTCGAACATACGATACGCATTGTCGAAAAAAAGAGCAAGCTTACTCGCTTCGTCGGTGGAAGCGGAAGTGGCGGCGGACGCGCGGGGAGGCCACGGTCAGGCAGGTTGTTGTCGAGGGTACGTACTTGGTGGCGGTGAGCGTCTCTGTGATGGTGACAACGACATCCTTGGCGTGGACTGGCGGCTTCTGTGCCTTTGGCTGCTGGTTCTGCGGCTGCTTCGCACCTTTGGCTGCTGGCGCGGGGGCGGCCTCGGCTGCGGCTGGTGCGGCGGCGGGCTTCTTCTTTCCCTTGCCCTTGCCCTTCTTCGAGCTGGACTTAGCAGCTGCAGGAGCGGGGGAGGAGCCGTCGAGCATCATGCCCTCGACCTTCTCGCAGATAGCGTCGAACTTGACACCGCTCAGGGTCTTCGCGATCTTGCACTCGTGCTGCTTCTCGGGCGACTGGAGGAGGTTGTTGCTGGTGAAGGTCTTGCAGTTCTCGATGACACCGCCGGTGATGGAGACCTCCTTGGGGACGCAAGTGGTGTCCTTCATGGCAGCTGGGAGGGTCTTCTCGTCCCAGCCGTTGTAAAAGTCGCCGTGGTAGCTGTAGCCTGTAATGAGGTTAGCTTGATTCTCAAATTATACTATGACTAGGACAAAGGAGCTTACCAGTTTCGTCACCGGTGGACCAGATGAATTTACCATCCTGAGAGGCGAAAGATGAAACCATAAAGCTGACTTCGTACTTCAAGGTGATCAGACGCTTCGGGTGGGTCTTCGGGCACTTTCCATCCTCCAATCCGTCGGGGTAGGCCATGTGGTCGCGGTGGTTGTCGGAGTCGAGCTTTCCGTTCCAGCACGATGGGAAGTTGATATCGGCGCGCAGGCCGTCGACGCAGGTCGCCAGCTTGGACATCTCGGGCATCTTGCGATGCATGGCGAAACCTTCGGTCTCCGGGTTCTTGTAGTTCAGGCAAGTGAAGCCAATGGCATCCTGTCTCATGCGGGCCTCGGACTTCTTGTCGGCGCTCTCATCGTAGGTACGAAGCTTCGGGTCTCCGGCAATCATGCCAAAGTCCTCGGGGAACGGGAGCACGGTTTCGCCATACTGGGCGCCACGTTCCGGAATGTAGTAGACGAGCATGCCGTCCTTCTGGGGGACGGGGGCGTAGGTGCCATTCTTGAACTGGAAGTAGAGCGTCGGAACCCAGTAGTTCGACTTGTCGGGTTCGACCTGGCAGGACGTGCACTTCGAGGCGCGCAGTTGCTTTGTCGAGATGGTCTTACCGAAGGCCTGGCCACCCATGATGTTGTGGACGTGTCCGTCGACGGCGCCCGGGTAGACGATAGGGTCAATTCGGTCGACGAGGATTGGCGCACCACACTGCATCCGCCAGAATGCATCGACTCTGGATCCGAGCAGCGCGAGGGCCGCCAGCGAGAGTGTCTGTCTCATGTTTGATATGAAGGACGAAAAAGAGCCAAGATGGTCAGTTAGCTGTGGAAGCCTGTTGCCAAGGCTATGCTGTTATCGTCGCGCACTGGAAGCCAGGAGAGAGCAAAGCTACGATGTGGAGAGAGGGGAAGCGCTTTTAAGTAAAAAGAGCTAGATAAGTGGAGATTTGATTGTGGGTGTGTATAAAAAGAAAGAAGCCCCGCTGTTGGCAGGGAGGGAAGAAGAAGAAGATGTTTGGAGCAGGTTGACGAGGCACAGCCAGCCGGTAGTTTTTTTGCGCCGTGTTGTTGCTGTGGTACTTTATGCAGCGGCCGACGTGAAGCCCAAGATGCGACGAGTTATGCACTGGTCGACGTGAGACAGCGCTACCAGGACGGTCAATGCTCGTGGGTATCAAAAGGCTCCGAATGGAGGCGGCAGGGCGATGCAAAAAAGATCACCAATGCAAAATGGCCGGGACGACCAATATGAGTGAATGAATGGATGGATGGGTTGTAAAATGAATGTGAGAATGCAATGAAGGAAAAGAATGAGCGGACGAAGTTACGATCTTTTCTCAAGATCTTCTTAGCAGGGAAGGGGGAAATCTCAAAGGTCGAAAGAGCACTGGCGCAGACAGTAGCCCGGATCGATGGGATGAGTCTCTTATATGAAAGAAGACGAAGAGAAAAAGAGCGAAGTCCTGAGTCGAGTGAGTGAGTGTTGTAAAAGAAGGTAGGAGGTTGCTTCTTAGAAGCAGCCTGAGCACAGAACGAGAACAAGAAACAAGAAGAAAAAAAAAAGAACGACTGAGGATATCAAGAAAGAAGGGACCCTAGCATGAGGAAAAAGAAGGAAGGAAGGACGGAATGAAGAAGAAACGAGGGAGATTCAAATAGAAAAAAAAAAGCTGCACCGCAGCAGGGCTTTTAATTTCGAACCAGTCGCTAATAGACCCTGCGGGATGGTGGTGATGTGACGGGCGAGTGAGAGGACGAGCAGAAGAAGGAAAGTCCAGCATGGATGGTCAGGAGGAAGGTGAAACCGTTATATGAGCGACGGGCTCCAGGCACAATTGCAAAGGCCACACTGCCCACACTTTGGCCACACCCGCTGCCACTCGCTGCCACTCGCCGCCAGGGCATGCCGCAGGCCAATAGCTCGAGCCAGAAACATCTCGATCCAGGTGCTTCGCGAGCCTGGTCGCGGGGCCTCGGCAGCGCCCAACTGGCGTTCCAGCCTGCGCCTGCCGCTCGATCGAATTGGGCTTCCGGGATTCCGCCAGGTGCCAGCTGGTGCGGTGCACGGTGCCGGCAGCACCTGCCCGCGATGCCAGAACACCGTCGCGTCGGCCTGTAGACGGTTGGGGCACTTGGCGCGGTGGGCGTCGCAGGTAGATTAAGTCATACATCGCCAGTTCGGTTGACGAAGCAGCAGCACTTCGCGATCGTG